CCTTTGGTAGTGAGAGTATAACTGTCAAATTATTTGATTGTTTCTTTGTTTATATTCGTTAATATCATGGGATTAATAGTGTAGTGGAACGTGTTTGAATTTATCTTTCCAGATGAAAGTTTTGCTTAAAAAACTAAGTGGTTGTCCCTTCAGGACATTTCAAAATCCATGAATTTATACACCTGAAATTATCTCTTTCTAATGGTTCAGGTTTTTTGCTAGAGTTCAAATGTCTAATTACAAACTAGCTTACTAATAAACTTTTGTCAGTATCGTTTTACTAGGTAAAAAATAACTTATGGATATCTCTAAATTGATTGACTTGTGAGCTTGATACAAAAACCCGACCGTTGTTGCTACCTTGACGTGGTGGTCGGGCTTGCCTATCGTGATGAAGCAACCGAGATATACTGGCTGGAACAACCGTTCCTCAAGGTCCTACCATGTCAGACAGGTCGGTTGAAGAGCGGTAAGACTAAAAGCAGCAAACCCAAGGTCCGAAGGCGAAGTCGTACTGCTGACTGTACAGAGGTGTGACAGCAGTAAGGTGTTTCCTTCAGACAACCAGCATGACAGCGATGCTGCCTTCCCACAAGGAGGGGTGGGGTTAGAAAAGGTCGACCCTAAAAATGCACACCTCACCTTACCTCACGGATTTCCGTCTCCGGCGGTAAGGCCCTTTGAAGAACGGAGCTAACACGTCAAAAACCTCCTACGAAAAGGCCGTGCGCGACCGGCCTCAAGCAGTTGTCCCTTGGGCACTGCGGTCACGCTCTCAGGTCACTAAGACCACCTTTAATCCAATTTCCTTTTCAGGTACCTCCAGAACAACCCTTCCACGGTGTGGGCAACCGGGAAGTGATAACCGCCCTCATACCTCTAACAGCACCCAAGACCACTGTATTCATAATCAACCTCCCTCTTCAATTCCTATTATTCCTCCTACATCGACTTTCAACTTTAAATTTCCTCTCTCGGCTTCCACCTCAAGTGTCACCATAGCCAACGATTCTAGTGCGCAAAACACTGTCCCAGGTCTACTGAAACCTCGCTCCAAACTACACATTGGAGCCTTCAACGTACGCACCCTATGTCAAATCGGTCAGCAGGCTTCCTTGGCTAAAACCCTAGAGTCTCTTTCCATTGATGTATGCTGTGTCTCCGAAACACGCATACAGGATTCCAGTGTGGTTATTCACTTGACCTCACCTCGGCAAAACGGAGAGCCAACAAGATACACCCTTCGTGTATCTGGTGACCCGATGGCAAGTTCTCGTGGACTGGCAGGTGTAGGCATAGCACTAAGCATGAGGGCGGAACAAACACTGCTAGAGTGGATCCCCGTCAACAGTCGTCTATGTGCTGTTCGGCTGAACGGCTACGTAAGAACTCGGAAGGATAGGGACACACGTCGTTGCCTTTTTGTCGTTTCTGCCTACGCTCCCACTGACTGCAGCTCAGATGAAGTGAAAGATGAATTTTACAGAAAGCTGTCCGAACTTCTTCAGAAAGCTAAACGCTCAGACATAGTACTCGTAGCAGGAGATTTTAATGCTCAGATAGGTAGCTTAAACCAAACAGAAAGGCATTTAGGTGGATATTTCAGTGTTCCGACACAGCGAACAGATAATGGTGATCGTCTGCTGCAGCTATGCTCAGACAATCGTTTATTTTTAGCAAACACAAATTTTAAGCATAAGGAGAGACATCGTCTAACATGGCGACCCCCTACACCAAACCAACGATGGACTCAAATAGACCATATTGCCATCAGTCATCGTTGGAGAGGGTCGGTAGAAGATTGTCGCTCATTCTGGAGTACCTGCTTGGACTCCGACCATGCCCTAATACGGGCACGCATCTGCTTGCGCCTCACTGGACGCAAAAAAGCCACATTAAAAAGACCCGTCAGAACTGAGTTGAGTAACGAGAAAATCAAAAGTAGGTTCCAGGAACAACTGAGGTCACACTTAGGTAGTTGTGAAGACGAGGCTGACCCAGATGTTGCTTGGAAGGGCATACAATCAGCTGTGGAAACAGCAGTGACATCTATTAGTGACTTAAACCACAGAGTTGCAAGGAACCAGTGGATTTCTTCAAGGTCTGTCACACTGATGGATTCTCGTAAACTCGTCCCATCAGGTTCTGAACATGATGAAGAGCGAAAACAAATCAGATCTAGGTTAAGAAAAAGTCTAAGAAACGACCGTGAGCAGTGGTGGGTAACGAAAGCAAAAGAGATGGAAAAGGCGGCGACTATAGGGAACACAAGACAGCTTTACAGACTAATAAAAGAAACTGGAATTAATAAGTCAAGTGTAAGTGAGATTATTTCGGAAAAAGATGATACTCTCATCTGCTCCCAGTCCAGGCGTTTAGAACGATGGGCGGAACATTTTAGAGAACAGTTCAGCTGGCCTTCAGCTACTCTACAACTACCCTCCATTCCCAGACAGTGTGAATGGAACATTGAAGTAGGTCCCCCAACTCTTGCTGAAGTTCAAAAGGCTATAGTTAATCTGAAACGAGGAAGGGCAGCTGGTCCAGATGGATTGGCTCCAGAGGTCTTTAAGGATGGTGGTCCAATTTTAGCGATTAGGTTGACTAATATTTTAGCTAAGATCTGGGAATTAGACTTTATCCCATCTGACTGGTCGCAATCACTTATCGTCCCAATATATAAGAAAGGGTCAAAATCATCCTGTGACAACCACAGAGGGATTAGTTTAACAAACATAGTATCTAAAATACTGGCCTCGATAATTATCAAACGCCTAACTAAGACTCGTGAACTACAAACTCGAGAGAACCAAGCTGGCTTTAGACCTGGTCGTGGCTGCATCGACCACATATTCACCATTCGTCAGGTTCTAGAACACAGGCATACCTATCGGCGTCCGACGATGGTGGTCTTTCTTGACTTAAAAGCAGCATTTGATTCTGTAGACCGCGAGACTCTGTGGCAGTGTCTGTCATTGAAAGGCGTACCTCAGAAGTACATAAACCTTGTGAAGGCTCTTTACTCGAACACTACTAGTCGAGTCAGGGCTTATGGCGAACTGTCATCTACTTTTGCAACTTCAAGTGGTGTCCGTCAAGGCTGTCCGCTTTCTCCATTTTTGTTTAACTTCATCATAGACCTATTGATGGAAATAACACTCTCGTCGACTGAATTCTCGGGTATTGATCTCCTTCCAGGAGGTCCACTTATCGACTTAGAATACGCAGATGACATAGTCCTGTTTGGTGAAGACGCTGACAAAATCCAGAGTCTTCTGGTAGCACTAAGCAACAATGCCAGAATGTTTGGGATGCGCTTCTCTCCCTCTAAATGCAAGTTGTTGCTTCAGGACTGGTCTGCGTCAACACCTGAACTAAGGATAGGGAGTGAAGTAGTCGAACGCATTGACAACTTCACTTATCTTGGAAGTCTGATCAGCCCTAGTGGGTTAGTGTCTGACGAAATCTCAGCACGGATTCGAAAAGCTCGTTTGGCTTTTGCCAACTTACGTCACCTTTGGCGGAGGCGAGATATCCGTCTATCAATAAAAGGACGAGTATACTGCGCGGCAGTCCGTTCTGTCTTACTTTACGGCAGCGAAACATGGCCTTTAAGAGTAGAAGACACCCGTAAGTTACTAGTATTTGACCACAGATGTCTTACAAATATTGCTCACATCTGCTGGGGTCACCGGGTGAGTAATAGTGCGGTTAGACGTAGGGTATCAGGAAATGATGGTAAATCAGCTGATGAGGTTGAGAATCCTGGTCGACTGAGATGGTTGGGTCACGCGCTGTATGCGCCTAAACACCGATTACCACGACGCGCAACGCTAACTAGTGTAGGGGATGGTTGGAAGAAAGTTAGGGGCGGCCAAACCAAAACGTGGTATCAGTGCTTGAAGTGACTAACGTCTGGTCTGAGCCATCTTGGAAGATGCAGACTACGTGGTTGAGGTCCGTGTGACTATCGTAACCAATGGTTGAAGACTGTGGGCGACATGGCTCAGAATCGATCACAATAGCGCCGGTGTATACACTTTCTGTCTTCCCTTAAACTATGAGATTAAAATCACTTCATATCTTTCTACCAACTAATTCTTTCTTCCTATACTATATCCTTATTGCAACCTTTGACCTAACCACTCCTATGAATCCGCTGTTCATCTTGCTGTGCTAATGAGGTATGGCAACTTGCACCGGTGTACATATGTGCCTGGTTCTACGTTGTATCTGACTAACTGACTGACTTGATACAAAAAGAAATCATGCTTTATTTCAGGTGTTAGTCATGCGCATACAGCTACCGTCAGGGAAGTCCTACTTGTCGCCTTCTGGCGACAGGGATGTTGTTTACAAATTTGGGAGGACCGAAAGCGAATGTCTGGAGCTTAAACGGGACTGGTGGATACGGAGCACTCATCTAAGGGTGTTGGAAATCCCTGGTTCCAAACCAAATGTGCATATAGGCTCCAAGATCCTGAGGAAGCAAGAGGCGTATGAACCTATTGTTGGTCACCGACTACCATGGGATCGCATCTCATAACGCTGCTTCGCTGGCTTATGTACCAGACCTCCAGGTCAAAGGCTTGGAGAGTGGTCCCCTAAGAAGACCATCTGCTTTGGTTTGGGTGCCCTGGCAGTATTCCAGTTCTCACACAAATCGAATGATTTGTGTGGCGCATATATATATATATATATATATATATATATATATATATATCCTTGTACCAATGTTTGTTTAAATAAATAAATAAAAGACCGCTTGCTACCCATATTTAAGCTGGTCAATATAATTTGCAACTTTTGAAAAAATGCACTTCACAAATAGTACTAGTTTTTCTAATGTACTCCATAATAATATTTTATCTCCGTTCTATTTTTAATTTTCAGCTTTCATCATTTGTGCAGTCACCTCAGTTATTTACATTAAAGGCATTTTCACTGTTGTATTTATTGTAATAAATCTCTTTCTTGTTTGTATAATGTTTACGAATTATATGTCTTTATTGTACACTATCACGTTACCGACATTTCCACCCGCTTTGTCTTCTTTCTCTACTTATTTTTCCTCGTCGTCGTCTTCTTCTTCACTGTCATTACTTATACGATGGCATTGTATATTGGGCTGTTTATTACTCTCTACTTCACTTTTGTTTATGCTAATAAATTCAATATTCAGGCGTATACCACCTTATAAATATTTTATAATTATAATTCTTTATATCTCTGTACTATTTATCTCTTCATTGCCAATTATTATTAAGTCCTCATCAATAGAATTGACGAGATCCGATCATGAGAAATCATTGAGAATGATGATGATAACAACAACGACAACAGCAAATGATAAGCATTCATTTCATACAAATGTCATCTATGGATTAAATAATTTTTCATCAACGTGGTTATTCTATGTCTATACAATGGTTAAACCGAATTGTTGTGTCAAGCAATCTAATGTAAATAGTAATTGGCAATCTCTTTGTCTGCCCACAAATATTCATTTGTTTTCATCAAATGAGAATATTGTTCATGATGTAACTATTGTTTCTGAAGCAGCTTATCGATATGATATAATCTTATTAACTTGTTCTTATGGTTTATTGTGTATTTATATACTACTTCTATTGTATTGTTTAAGCATTACTGATATTTATGAGATCTTTATGTCATGTGTTAATATAGAGCTGGAATTATATCGACTTGGTCTAGTTGATTATATCACATTTCATTGGAATCGATTAGATGTACCACAAATTTTAATGTACTTTTGGTCATTCAAACTAATGTCAGTGATTATTTTGGGTCCAGTATGCTGGGAAATTATTCCAACTGGTGATGTTAATGTTGATGAGATATCAGCGAAACTATTCAATTCTTCTACATTGAATGAATATTCTAATCTGGATACTGCTAATCAATCAACATTATCTATACTATACACAAGATTATTTGTTGGTCTTTTTGTACATGGATCAGAAACCTGGTTGTCAGTGTGTGGAGCAGCTGCATTTTTCGGTGCATTAGCTACTATTTTCGTTTCTATATTAGTCTTTTTATTGGATCCATCCCGTACTGGAACAGCTCGATTAGCAGTGGTAGCTGCAGAAGCTCCAGCTGATCCGCATACATGGAATGTAATTGATGATCCAGCGTTAGCTTTAGATCAAAATGATGTTATTGCTATGGAATTACTAGCTAGTACAGGATGGAATTGTGCTGTTGTCTTTTTGTTCTTAGCTTTCCAATCAGATATGCCTAATCTTCCACCAGTTTATCGTGCATCATGTTCTATGTATGGAATTATGGTTCTTGTGATTGCTTGTATCCATCCTATTCAAGCATTGATCAAGTCATTCTTATTACGTCTTGGGGCACCTGGTCAACAAACAAATTGGTCCGAACATGTACGACCATTGTGTTTTTGTGTTGTGCTAATTTTTGCAGCTTTCAATATGTTCACTTGTTTACCAAGAATATTAACAAATGACAAACTGGATTATATTCGTAATATGAATCACAGTGAAAATGCATCCTATTTAGCTGTTTTATCACATATTGGCTCATCGGAAGAAGCAATACTTGCGAGACGACTAAGAATATTTCTAAGCGGTTGTCAATTATTAATTAGCCTTGTAGTTACACTAATTGAATATGCTATTTATCAATACTCTTATCGATATCCTAATTGGACAGGATTTCAACCAACAATATTTTGGACAAAAGTGATTAGTTCAGTAATTGATTATTTTATTTCATTATTATCATTTCTAACAGTCTGTTGGTTAGTATTCTATGATTCTTTTGGAGTGTGTCGTTTGTTTATTATTTGTTGTTATTTCTCCTTAGTTTTATATCCATCAGCGCGTAGAGCATATATATGGATAAAATGGCGATTATTATGCACTAAACGTATGAATGATTTAGTTAATCCTAGTAAAATACAATTAGAACGGTATGGTGATACATGTCCAATATGTTTTGCTGAAATGACTATAACTACAGCAAAAATTACTAGATGTGGTCATCTTTATCATTCTGAATGTCTTATACAGTGGATGAAACATAAATTAACATGTCCTATATGTCAGTCAGATTTATTGTCGACTAGAGTGACTAATAAACGACGAGAAGTTACAAGTGCTCGAATGCAAGAGACTATAGTAGGTGAACAAAATTAAATAAGTTTAAAAGAAATTATTCAGAATTTTTAACTTTATTTATTATTATTACTATTACTACCAATACTATTACTATTACCATCATCATCATCATCATCATCCTTTTCACTGTCTAACCATTCGATATTAAACAAAAGTCAAACAAGAAATCACCTTTTAATCTTGTAAATGCAAATTGTTACTACTCTGTGCCTTCAATTGTACACTCATCATTATTATTTGTCAAGGATGTTTGTAAAATGGAGGCGCGTATAAATTCATAATGTCTATGTGAAGCCGCTTTTTTGTTTATTTTTGTTTTTTGTGTGTATGTACGTGACTTATTATCATGCATAGTACATAAAGAGAAGATTTACAATAAATTATTGACATATAATATTGTCTATTTTTTTCAGAGAAATAATAAAGTTAGTTTCGGTGTGATTCATTTACCAGTTTTGAACTATATATCTTTTGTTTATAGATTAATGATATAGTCCAGTTGCCGCAACTGATCTAGAAAGTGTAAGTTCAGTACTATGGTGTAATTGTTGAATGTCGAGTGTTAAACAATTGGTCACTTATAGTGAACAGAAATATATTTATTCTAGCTGTACATAGCCCAGGGCAGAGTTCGATAAAGAATGCTGATGGGCGGCCTATGCTCCTCCACGAGGAGTAACAGGCGTAAGTAATTAAGTAAAGCTGTACGTATAGTCAGTTGGAGATTATATCATCAACATTATTACTATTGTTTTTTTCTGTGTCTGGTTAAACTATAATAAGAATTTACCTCATTTATTAAATATGTTTCTACTGTTAACTTTAAACCACACTTTTGTTACTACCTAGTTATCCAAACTTCAAACAGGTGAAGCAAAGGTTTAATAATTAGAAGCTAGATGTTGTAATCATCAAACCGTCATACAAATCTCAGTATACTACGTGAAAAATGATCAGTCAGCTACAACGTAGGACCATGCATATATATGCATCGGTCCAATTTGCCATACCACATTAACACAACAAGATGGACACCGGGTTCATAAAAGTCGTTAATTCAGAGGTGGTAATATATAAAAGAAAGATTGCATATAAGGATATAGTACAAGAAGAAAGAATTAGTTCGTAAAAAGAAAGATATGAAGCAGTTTTAATCTCTTAGTTTAAGGGAAGACAGAGAGTGTATACACCGACGCTTTTGTAATCGATTCTGAACCATGTCACACACAGTCTCCAACCATTGGTTACGATAGTCGCGCGGACCTCCACCAAGTAGTCTGCATCTACCAACATCGCTCAAACCAGAAGTTAATGACTTCAAGCACTGATACCACGTTTTGGTTTGGTCGACCCTAACTTTCTTCCAACCATCCCCAACACTAGTTAGCATTGTGCATCGTGGTAGTCGGTGTTCAGGCATACGTAACACGTGACCCAACCATCTCAGTCGATGAAGATTCACAACCTCATCAACTGATTTACCATCATTCCCTAATACCCAGTGTCTAACCTCACTATTACTTACCCGGTGATGCCAGCAGATGTGAGCAATATTTCTAAGACATCTGTGATCAAATACTAGTAGATTACGAGTAGTTTCTACTCTTAATGGCCACGTTTCGCAGACGTAGAATAAAACAGAATGAACTGCCGCGCAGTATACTCGTCCTTTTGTTGATAGACGGATATCTCGTCTTCTCCATAGGTGACGTAAGTTGGCATAAGCCAAACGAGCTTTTCGAATCCATGCAGAGATTTCGTCAGACACCAACCCAGCACGTGAAAAATGATAATGAAGATGATCAATTTACAATCACGTATCGACTAAAATCAATAAATCATTTACTATTTACAACTATTGATGATTTCTTACGACTATTTAAACTGTTGGTTAACGTATTAAGATTGAAAGGATTAAGTGCATGTATATAATAACATGCAAATATGTAGCAAATAGATAATTTAGATATATTAAAAAACTAACCTCTCACTAATGGTAATCATTTATCATGTCTCATCAAGTCCTTCATGCTGATGGAATCCCATCAAGTTAGTTGCAACATGTCCACTGATCTAAGTGATACAGTGTCGTGGTGTACTTTTTTGCTGTTAGTAGGAGTCACAGACTTACTTTCCAAGATATCTGGCTCTTGTCGGGAAAATTTGTCTAGATTCTCAAAGGAAACGATAAGGAATTCTAGCCTGGCTCACAGTATTTTTCAAAAATGTCATTACTATGCTACTTGGATAGAACTGACTTTCTGTAACGTACATGTTTTGTACTAATTAGTCATTGATTAATAATTAATGTCCTATTGCGTAGTCCTTATGGATAATCGCTTCTTATCGATGTAGTTGTAATGAAGTAGATGATTATAGATCATTGATAAGTTAAATTAGGCCATGAGTATTAAATTGTCCTTATCTTTTACAACAAACTCCTACATCATCCTAAGTTTGCTTTTAACTTTTTCAACTACCCTCTGCAGACAGTTTCTAATTTATAACTCAACAGGATTAATTTGGTTTTGTGTTCTTTGAGCTGAATAATTCAATCTTAAACATTCCATAGTCTTTCTAGACAACATTATTAGCTGCAAAACTTCAGTAGATATCTAGAACGACAATAAGAATTTCTTGAAATAAATCATTTGAATACAACACTATGTAATTTTATACAGATATCAGAATTTAGTTTAAATTACTGGAAATTTATTGAATAGTGAGGATAAATAAGTGCATGATTATGTACAACGGTAGTTATCAATTAAACAATTGCCTATTGAATTTACAGTTCATTGCGTTGTTGTGTCTTGTTATTGGGGTTCATTACGGCCTACAATGTTACAGATTTAGGAACATAAACGACAGGGCTTCTCTAATACGATCGATTTTCTTTGTAACTGACAACACCCAATTATGCTCAACACATCAAACCTCGACGGCTAAGGCAGGAAGAAGATGGAATTGCAGGTAAATTGATATTTTGTGGTAGAACAAGCAACTCAAACCACATTGGTATAAAAGTTGTTACTATGGTAGCAGAATATGATCTTCGAGCATGTAAAGTCATCACGACTGGTTTGGTCATATAACTCTTCTGGCGATTTTGCAACTATGAGTATATCGTTTAAATAAACGGTTACACCTGTAATACCAGTTAATATGGTATCCATTAATTCTGGAATATCGCTGGTGCCATCTTTACTCCAAAATGCAGTCGTTTATACTGAAATAAACATCTATGTGTGTTTATTGTCAGTAATTCACGGCATGAAGGGTCGAGCTCTACTTACATATAGGCTTCGGCTAGATCTAGTTTTGCAAAGTAACTTTCACCGTTTAATATTGTAAGAAAGATCATCTGGAACTGAATAAGAATAATGATATTGTTCTTATCACATTTTGTAATCTTGTATAGAATATTCATCAATGATTTTTTGTTTATGGTACATCAAACTAAGAAAATTTATCTAAGTTCAGATTGTCCTTATTTTCATATTTAAGTTTTTCGACATTTAAAATAATCTTGCTTACCACAATAAACTTCGTAACCATTAGATTTGGTAAAGTTTCATTGTTTAGAAACAAAAAAGTGAAATTTTGTCAAATGGTATCAATGGATTAGATTAATTGTTGCAGTGGTACATTTTAAAATGACCAGGGCGTGGCGAATAAACATCTTAGCAACGTTTTGCAAGTGGAGCAGTGAGCTAATAGCTGAAACATCAAACTTTTAATTGGTAGTTCGTATATTCGAACTCGTTCCCACAGACTTCAGTTTGAGCAACTGAATGGTATCATTAAATGTGATTGAATAATTCCTGGTTAGCGTTTTTTTAGCAAGTTAGTTTTCTACGGGGTGGGGTCGCTAACCCCATTCCCAACCTTCCTCCTTTATCCAGGCTTGGGACCGGCAGTAGCCCCAGAGGGGCTCCAGGCGGAGTTATCACTAAATATGATACCACATTATTATTAGGGGATGTTATGTCCCGATAAGAATAATGATTGGTAACTTTTGGGATCCATTTATGGACCAGTACTATGCGTATATTTTTATTGTATATTTGTTAAATTAGTGGACTATTCATATTTATATCTCTCTTATTATGAGCTTTATTTTGACCTATGAACTATTATTTTATGATTTACCATTCTTGAATTATGCCCTGTCTGTTAATTACTACCTCCCCCATTCACGGCCACATTTAGCTCATTCTTGTACAAATGTTGCTTCCTATTTTATGGTACGGTGTGGTCTGTCTGGTTGGTATATAAACCCAGTATGCTTGAAATAAATGATTCATATTTCAGAGCCTGAAATTGGTGTTCTGGACCTAATTGGTTGGGCTAAGCAAGAAGCACGACCAATCAGGGCTCTAGACTGTTCGTACATGTTTTATGCGTCATTGGTCCGACCGATAATTCACTACTCTCTAATTGGCGGTATCATTACGTTATACATTAATAGGACACACAGGCCACAAGTTATAACAGGGGATAGTCTAAATTTATCAAAAATAACAGTTTTGTCCTTGTACTGTGTTCCTTATTGATAATTAACATATTTGTAACAAAAGAATATCTTTATATACTTGTGCAAACAACATTTGAATACTTTGAAAAGTTGGTTGGCTAATTGGTTATTATGCAATTAGGTTAAAGTGCGATGGAACTGTTGAGACCTTTTAGCACTATAAGTCGATATACTGAGCGAAAAAAGTGTCTCCATGGTGTATAGCCTAAGATGTTGATTTTCAGTTGCGGAACTTTCTACGACGAGTACTCGCATTATTTGATTCCAGATTACTGTTTTTTTGGGCGTCTGTATACAGTTCCCAAACAGAAACAACTCAACCTCCTTATTCTCTAGATTACAAAAGTTGGCAACGCCATAGGCTGTGTTAACGAGATATAGATTGGGTTAAAGGATGCTCCATACAGGGTTGTGTTGGGGCACGATGATTGGGGGATACTTGGAGAAGACTAGGATATTCTTCTGTG